TGGTATGCAGTTGGTACCGAGAGGCCAGAATTTTTTTTTTCCTCAAAAAATATTGAAAATTGATCTCATTTTGTAGAGCACGATGAACTTGTTCCATCTGTGCAAAAAAAATTAAAATCCGAGTTAAAACGAAAAAGATATGAGTCAATTAAAAAAGCTAGTGAAAATAAAAATGAGCTTTAATTCTCCATCCTTAGATTTGGATTTTCTAAATGAAGGGTTCAGATTTGGTTATTGATGGGTGCATAACCATGGGTTATGCACCTAACTTGAGCCCCACTTGGTTTCACCCGCCTTTTATTAGGGAAAAATCCAAACTAGTCCCTCATCTCATCTAAAATTGCTTCCCAAGTCCCCACTTCCCGGCCCAGAAGTTGGTCAGTTACCGCCTTCCTTTTTGTGGGCCTACATCACGCAACCTTCCCTTAAATTCCAGCTAGGCTGGACCATGACCGAAGCCCAAACAAAACACACCTAAAAATGAAGTGGCTGCTGGGCCCTCAACTTTAATCGGAAAAAAATGGACAACAGTAGGCCCGCTAGTCGTATTTATGAAAGCTAAGTGATAAAGTTTGTGTAATTTTATCGAATTATTTTTGTTATTATACTTCTAATATATTTTGAATAGTTAGTCTCACCAAATTGATCGCTGATTAGGGATGGCAATTTACCCACCCATGGGTAATTTTGCCCAAACCCAAGTAGACCCATCTATTATGGGTAGGGTTTGGGTGATGTGTGTATTATCTAAATGGGTATGGGTTGGATATGGATATCCATTTACTTGAGGGTGTCTTTACTACACATGCAAAAATTGGACTTATTTGTAAAACTTGAAAATTTTAGGTACCAAAATGTAAGACCAAAAAAATTTAGGTACCAAAACGTAATTTTCCATCGATATTTTGAGGACTTATATGCAAAAAAAATTAAATTTAGGTACTAAATATGCATATCTATTAAGTTTAGATACTAAACTGTAATTTGTATTTGGGCATGGGTACAAACCCAAATCCATTTGTTATAAACCCAACACAACCCAAAATAAATGGGTATGGGTACAAACCCATCAAACTTTACCCATATCCATATATTTGGATTTCATACCCAACCCAATTGGGTTGGATAGTAAAATACCCATGGGTATGGGCATAATTGCCATCCCTATCGCTGATGCATAGTGATGGCAATGGGTCGGGGGCGGGGCGGGTACCTCAATACCCATGTCCCGCCCCACGCTAGTAAGGGTCGGGTGCGGGTAATACCCGTGCGGGTACGGGGTGGGGCGGGTCGACCCACTCTTACATGTTATTTAAGAAAAATACACGCACAATTTTACTTTTTATGATAAAACAAAGGGGCGGAAACTTGATGAATGAATAATAGTGATAATAATAAGTAATTGAGTCTATTTAGTTGAAAGATCAAGTTTAACTAGTTGAATAAAAGTCTAAATAGAAGATATATGAATGGATGGGGTAAAAAATTGACCTAGAACGGGCTAAGAATGGAGGGGGTGGGGCAGGGCGGGCCAGAAGTTGATACCCATGCCCCGCCCCATGCTAATGTGGGTCGGGTAATACCCGTCCCATCACGGGCCAGGTCAAGTATTACCCGACAGGGCGGGTTCAAATTGCCATCCCTAAAACCTATGTAAGGATTTGTTTGCTGCTCCGCTGTGATTTCGATTATCAACGTTAGAGAAGTGTGATTCGTTGGTGGTTTGGAAATGACAAGTGATTGGGGACTAAATGATTGAATAAGTAAAGGAGGTTAAACGCCAAAAAGTCAAATTGTAGTGTGCAGATGCAGACAGACAATACCTGGGGGAGCTCTCTCTGTGTTCTGACCTGTCCAGCTGCCTAATCCCAACCTGCCGTACTGGCAAATTAGGACTTGCAAGGATTTATAATTGGGATTAAGAAGGCTAATAAATTATTAGTTAACAAGTTGATTTTCCTAGGAGGAACTATTAGTATAGTTGAACCCATTCTCTTTTTTTTTTTTGATGGAAAACCTGGGGTATTTCATTCAGAAAATTCAAAGCAGGCCAGACTGACCTCGGCCCAAATCGGCCACAAGCAGGCTTACAACAGGAAAAGGGGGGGTCTCAACCCAAATAATCTGATTATCCCAGCTCACAACCGAGTGGGCTAACCAATGGGCCGGCCCATTCCCACTTCTGGAAACAAAACTCCATTTCACAGAACAACCCGCAGCTTCCTCGATCTCTTCAGCCAATTTCCAGATTTCTTCGCACAGAATTCCCAGCTCAGTCCAATCGACCTCCTTGTTCTTCAGTTTCCCCATCAGCGATTGGCAATCGGATTCAACAATTAGCGGATACAACTGCCTTCTGTTTGCCTCCTTGAGACCCATCAAAATCGCCCTCGCTTCAGCTTCAATCGGTCTACATCCCCCTCTTTCCTTCTTGGCAGTAGCGCCACAAAAATCCCCTCTTGAGTTCCGAAAGATACATCCCAGTCCAATCCCATCATTGGCGAAGACACCTGCATCGCAATTCAATTTGAAGAACCCAGCCGGGGGCGTCGTCCACTTCTGTTTCATCCTGCTCGAACCGTCAAGATGACATGCAGAGCTTCCCAGCAGCGGCCTGTTCTGAGCCTCAAGATAAGACTGGAGCCACGCAAGCGCCCTAGGGACAATCTGATCCTCATCCAGTTTCATGTTGTTAAACTTATGATTACACCGCTCTTTCCACAGGTACCACAGAATAGCACTGAACTTCTGTACCTTTTCTTTCGGGGCTGTTTTACAAGCTATCTTCAACCATTCCGAACATGATTTGCCTTCCCCTAATTCAAAAACTTCTTTGACTTCACAGGAGCTCCATCTCCGCCGTATCCAATCACAGTCCCGTAATGCATGCATCTGGGATTCAGGAAGACCGCAAAAGGGGCACTCGGGGCTGGCCCAATCGATCCACTCTTCAATGTTACTCCCAACAGGTAAGATACCTTTACCCACTTTCCACAGGAAGAATCGCACTTTAGGCTGAATGTCAATTTTCCACACCGATTTCCAAAAATCTGCCTCTTCTTCAGATCGAACATGAGTGCGGGTCATAGTGCTCATTTGCTGTCCACGGATCCTTAGATAGGCCGATTTAACTGTATAGGAGCCCTCATCAGTGTCTCTCCAAACTCTCGTATCCTTTCTAGGAGGGTAGGTAAGGGGAATCTTTGGGATCAGAATCTTATCCTGCTCCGAAAAGAGAACATTAATTTTATCTAAATCCCACCCTCCCTTGCTGAAATCGATAAGGGAATCAACCTTGTCGTCCGGGAAGGGACCAGAGGGGGTGGGATCAGCATGAAAGAAACCTTTGCCCGGAATCCAGGCATCATCCCACACCAGAATATCCTTACCATCGCCCACCCTCCACCTGAAGCCATCAGAAATAAGCTCCTTTGCCTCCATAATACTCCTCCATATAAAACTCGGTTTATGACCCAGCTTCGCATCCAGAATATCATTTTTAGGGAAATATCTAGCTTTTAAAGTCCTGGCCATCAGAGAGTTAGGCCTGGTCATAATGTTCCACACTTGTTTTCCCAGCATTGCCAGATTGAAAGCATGAAGGTCTCGAAAGCCCAGCCCTCCCTCGTCCTTCCCATCGCATAGCTCTTCCCAATCCAGCCAGTGCAATTTGGTTTCCTTTCCCTTCTGACCCCACCAAAAGCTCGAAATCATAGCTTGAATCTCATTAATGGTACCCATAGGAATCCGAAATACAGACATCGGATAAAGAAGTTGGGCTTGTGCAACAGCCTTAATCATAACTTCTTTCCCCGCTGGAGACATTGTTCTGCTCTTCCAGTCTTTGAGTTTTTTCCGGACTCTATCCTTAATGCTTTCGAATAACTCCTTCTTCGACCTTCCAACAACAGTAGGAAGTCCAAGGTACTTAGGACTTCCTAAAATGAGATTCAGACATAAAATCTCAAATTAGATTTTATCGTGGCTTTTAATTCGTCCAAATTACACTCATTCAACTTATATGGCTATATCTATATAAATGTTATGTTGACGCACACTCTTTTTGGAACGAAATGCTCACAACTTCGGTATGTATCATGAGGACAAATTAGCAGTTGATTACCTTGACTTTTGGAACCGTCATCTATCATTAAAATTCTAATATTATTGATAGTCTAGATGTTTAACTTATTGGCTTATGTATAATACTCTCAACATGTCTAATTTTATTTATCCGTTTGGACTCGTGTTTGTATAATCTTATTGCCCTCTCATTACTAGCTTGTGTGTCTTATTTGTCCCCTCTCTCATTCGGTTTCTTTTCAACTTGCAATGAATTTTTTTTACAGTAAGAACGACAAAGAAACCACAAAGTTTATAATATTAAAAAAAAAAGTATGTAGATCGAAAATATTGATCCAATTATATGAGAGAAAATCTTGTCAAAGAGCGGGCAATCCTATCAGCTCTAGCATTAAATTTCCTAGACACAACTTTGACCTTAATCATATCCAGGCCGCACTTCACCAAGGACAACTAAAAGAATCTTGAGATAAAACTTGTACCAAAACTTGATAGTCTGATTGGACCACACATTTATAAATATATTTTTGTGTTAATGTGAGATCTTCCAATAGAGTCTTCACTTCCGCTTCAATGAGGTGAAACAAAGAAATGTATCAACTCGTCCATCACATATATATTCACATTGATTAACGATCATAACACTATAAGCCTTTTTAACGATACATCATAAACCACCGGCTGAAACTCACTTAATAACTTGGAAAAAAAAAACAACTAAGAGGGGATTATTAACAGCAGAAAGGAATATATTGAAACAATTGTCGCATTACCAGAAAAAGATGGCCGCAGAGATATTTTAGTCAAATGATTCCCATATGCATAATGATAATAATTTCTATCTCAATTAGACAAACCACCACCACCATGTCTCTACCACTCCCTCTAATCCTCCAAAAAATTGAAGCTTACGTTTATATATAACAGCAACCTACGGTCCAAAAGAGCAAGGAAAAAGAAATCTCAGTTGCTAGTATATTTTTTTTTTCATGATCATAAATAATATGGGTGGTTCATCTTCCTCGACCGGGCTCTGCCTGCTGCTGAGTTTGCTGATTCACAGCTCCATCTTCTTCTTCGTGGCTTCCCAGAGCACGACAGCGGCGGTTGAAGGGACGGTTGTCATCAATGGAAGCTCGAGAATCGGGAGGACGAACCCAAATTTCATATGTGCAACTCTCGACTGGTGGCCGCCGGAGAAATGTGACTATGGAACTTGCAGCTGGGGAAGAGCTTCTCTTCTTAACCTGGTCAGCCTTTGATAATTAAACTCTCTTTGACCTTCTTTTGTGAGTTTATTCATTTGTTGAATCGGGTTGGATTTGTTGTTGGATGGTGGCAAGGGGTAAGCACTAAGCACTGCACCATATGTTTAAGCGTTTTTTATTATTATTCTAATATCGTTTTCGGATAATTGCGGTGCATGCGAGATGCAAGAAAAAATATGAGTGATTGCAGTGTTTCTGCGTACTATACATGTACCATAGCTCTACGATTTGATTAACATGTTGTCTAGCATCTTCGAATAGCATGGTTAATCATTGTCCATCGGTAAATTTATACAACAATCTGAATGATGTCAACATGTACATACACTCGACAGTTAATAATTAGACTATGCGATATAATAGTGTCAGCCTGTTTTGACACCTACCAAAAGAATTAAGAATCTAAAAAAAGACCGACGAGAGATCTAATATTTGTGTTTCATTATGGAATGAAGGTTTCTTTTGTAAAACTCAGTGGGACTATGTCACTATCTTTCGAAAACCATCAATGGCGTCAGGGTTGAAAACTGTGAAGAGTTGGATTAACATATATATATATACTTATTTAGACTGAAAACGACACCAAAAAAAATTGTCATTAATTACATGGAAGTACAGTTTCGAAGGGTATCATTCATATATTTCCTTCTTCTGACTATTTCCTCCGAATCTCAACTCTCTGCAGGATCTTACCAACCCTCTGTTACTCAACGCCATTAAAGGTACACAAGGAATAATTTGCAGAGTGAAGAACAGAGCATAACAGGCTGTGCCTTGATTCCTTATTTTTATAATTTTTTTTTTATTTGTTTTTTTGTTCAACATTTCCAGCCTTCTCTCCTCTGAAGATCAGATTGGGGGGTACCCTACAAGATAAGGTCATATACGAGACTCAACAACAGGCTTGCCCAGCTTCCTTCATCAAGAGCTCTTCAGAAATGTTTGGCTTCTCCCAGGGCTGCTTGCCCATGTCGAGATGGGACGAACTCAACTCTTTCTTCAGGAAAGCTGGGTACAATACAGTAACCATACACTTCCCCCTTTCTGCAAGTTCAACATTGTCGACGAAGTCATTTGCACGACTCAGATCGTTCAACTTGGTGCTGCATTTTTGAGAATGCAGGGCAGCGATTGTATTCGGGTTAAACGCGCTGAACGGTAGGACAATAGCTTCTGATGGTTCAGCGATTGTATTCGACCGAATGTTTTGACATGGTTAGAAGTTGGATAAACGCGGTTAAAAGGGCTCAAGATAGAGTGCATAACCCCCATGGTTATGCACTCATCAATAACCAAATCTGGACCCTTCATTTAGAAAATCTAGATCTAAGGATGGAGAATTAAAGACCATTTTTATTTTCACTAGTTTTCTTAATTGACTCATATTTTTTTCGTTTTAACTCGGATTTTAATTTTTTTTGCACAGATGGAACGAGTTCATCGTGCTCTACAAAATGATATCAATTTTCAATATTTTTTGAGGAAAAAAAATTCTGGCCTTTCGGTACTAATTGCATACCATATGGTATTTTCTTCGTTTTTCATTCGTTTTTGAAAATGTTTGCACAGCAGGGACGAGTTCATCATGATCTATTTGATCTACAAATTTCTGGGTGAACAAATTACAAGACCAAAAAATACCACACAATACCATACAATACCACCATGGTACGGGGTGGTATTTTATGGTATACAATGTTAAAAGTCGTAAATGACAATTAATATACTTCTACTATCATGTATTCAATCATCCTACAGTCTTGGTTTGTGCCATACCACCATGGTACGCTTTTCAAACCACATGTATGCTCTTATTTCAATACCAGTCAATACCATATGTTATAGACTGGTATAAAATGACTCAATTTTTTTTGTTCGAAAAATATATCAAAGTGGATATCATTTTGAAGAGCACAATTAATCTGATCTAACTGTGCAAAAAAAAAAATTAAATTTCGACTTAAAACGAGTGAGAAATCGTCCGTCAAAGATTAAGGAGGGGAAAATTAAAGGCTTTCCAGAAGAGAGAGGATGCTGATGTCATGCTGATGTGGGCCGGTTACTCATAGTTACTCACCATAAGGTTACTGACCTGATCCATTCCCGTTAAAAGGTATATGAAATTTTAGAACGAGAGTCATTCAATTCGATTTGGTCCAATACTCCAATTGATTATTAATTCGGTCGATTTTCTTTTGGATATTCAGAAAATTAATGAAATTAAGAACTGGTTTATCTTATTGACTAGTATCGTTCCTATTCAATCCTTTGTCGGTGTATATGTTTGTAGCGAAGATGAGATTAGAGGTTTTTAACTTTTTATCATATCTTAATCAGAGGGTCCAAATTAGTTATATACTCAAGAAGGAATACCAAATTAAAGGGCGATATTACTTTGATAAGATTTAGCATGGAAGTTGCGAATGTTAAATCGTTGCATTGTGATGAATCACCATAATATAAATGCATGTATTGATACAATGGATGCATTCTATGGTTGAGTCCAACGCATGCGGCAAATTTGGGGATGGCGCAGCTCCAATGGATCGTCTATTTATGTCGTTGTTCCTATAAATGGTGATAATCGCCATCTGTTCCGCCATTTTTAGCAAAGGGAATGCCGATTCCCTCTATTTTGGCGATTGGGCAAGGTGGTGCAGGCACAACCGCCAGCTCGGGCGGTGCTCCGCACGATAGCGGGGTAGGGGCTCTCCCGCGAGCGTGCAGCGCACCGCCCGGGTTGGTGTTTGTGCCGGCCACCACATTTTTTTATAGTTTAATTTAAGGGTTTAGGGATTTAATTAGGGCTTTAATGATTTGAAAAATTAGGTAATCGCCTTCATATTTATCGTTTTCAAGTGTTGTGTTTAAACCAAAATTAGGTCAATTATTTTTTGCCAAAAAAATTTGGTCTCAAAATTTTAAAAAATTCTATCGAAAAAATTGTATTTAAAAATGATGACGAACTATAAAAAAATTAATATGAACAAATTATATTAAAAATTTCATAAGCACATTTATAAGTAAATGAATAACTGAAAAAAGTTGGATTCCCCAAATTTGGAGAATGTAGCATTTGAGCAAAATAAGTGAAAATGGAGATGATCTCCAAATTTGGGGATGAAGGTCCCCAAAATTTGGAGACTATCATTGGACTTGGCCTAACAATACATTGATTGATTGTTGAGATTCTATTTTACGCAAGATTGTCAGCCCGTGGGTTGACCCACGGGCCACGGGTCGACCCAATTTGACCCTGACCCGGTGAGAAAAATGGGCCGCATGCACCCGCCGGGCCGACCGCTATAAGGTATCGGGTTGGAGGTTAAATTGTATCATTTTTTTCTTTAGTTTGCGAAATGCGCCTATTTTTCAATTTTTCTTTTCGCCTAACTCAATCTTTGGAATACTAAGTTGAACATTTGAATATTTATGTTATATAAGTGTGTGTGAATTTTCACTATATGTTGGATCTAAGTACGATATGTTATTTTGGTGTAATATTATATGTTATACTTATAACTCATATGTTAGATAAGATTTGATATAATTTATGAGGATAAGTACAATATAATAACTCTTTCTATATTTCCGGGCCAAACCGGGCTAAAACGGTTGACCCATTAACCCTTGGCCCACTAGCTCGACCGGGTCCGGGTCAACCCGCGGGTTGACAACCTTGATTTAGATAAAGTTACTTTTATGGGGAAATGCCACATTTACCCTCAACTTTTAGAATAAGACAAAAACTATTAGGAATATATATGAAAAGAAAAAGTTGACACAAATCTAAAACCATCAATCACAACAATCTCAACTTTTAGTTGAGATTGTATAATGCATCATTTTTTTTATTGTTGGTGGAACATACCTAAAACAATGCATGTATTGTTTAACACTTTGACACTTCCAAACATTGTATTGTACACAATACATGTATTCAACAAACACAACTCTAACAACCACAACTTCCAAACGAACCCTTAGTTTTTATGAAGATGCCAAACCTAATAAATAATGTAGTCTCGACTCCAGTCTATTTTAGTCTAATTAACATGAAATAGTAGCTAGGTACAAGGTAGTGGTAAATTTCAGAGCAATTTCACGCCAAATCTATTGTTTATGTGAAGTAAATTCAAGGAGTATTTTGCAGCTCAGGATTCAGAGCAGGAAAGAAATCAGGAACCGCCATGGATTATTCTCTGCGCAAGCTTTCCTTCCTCGCATTTTCCCTTGTCGTCCTCCTCTCTATTTTCTCCATCCTCTCCGCCATCATCGGTGTTACCTTACACTTCCTTCGACTTTCCTCAGCCAGCGTTCAGCTCGCATCAATTGGATTCAAGTAAGATTAACGTGCCTTTGACTTAAATTGCAACAATTAATTTCGGTTAATTAGGATCTAATAATTGCATTTCTCCCCCCCTTAATTAGTGTCAATCTAAGAAGACTCCCCTCCATCTGTATATTGGAAAAACTAAAAAGATTGTGATTGTTATCGGCCCGCTCGTACTATCAGCGCTGGTTGCCACTGTTGTTGGTTTTGTCGTTTGGGTTCCCTTATTCGTGGAGCGGAGGTGGCAGCGTCTATTTTATATTTTGAATGTGTCGAGAGAACGTATATATTATTTCATATAACATTAAATTTTATTGTAAATATGAAAATAAAACTCAGAGTTATTCAATTTATAGTTAACGTTATCAAGAGTGACATTGTCTATTTATTACATAATAGTTCAAGATAATTTGTAGTTACCGTTATCAAGAGTGAAATTGTCTATTTATTACATAATAGTTTATCAAAATTCAAATTAAAACAAATAATATAAACGCCAATAAAAAATAATTTAGAAAATAAAAAAAAACCTTTCATTTCATTCTTTAAATCTAGTCTCACTTAAAATCAAGGGTCAAAATATGATTATGCAAGAATTATGCACCTTATAATTATACACATGGGCCATTTTTATTTTTTAAGATGGTTAAAAAGCTTGTATTGATATTTCCATGCAATTTCGCAGATGATGGTAAGAAGAACAAGAGGCCATCATGATTGATGGTATTTGGGAAAGTGATAGTTGTAATAACATGCAAACGCAACTGAATAAATCCATTGATTTTTATCTGACTATTGATACATTTGACTACCTTTTTAGTTAAAAATTGTATGACGCCAATATATCATTTTTTTCCCCCCGGCCACCTTTGTCAGCACGTCAAATTGATGGTGGAATCCTACTTGGGTAGAACAACTAGTTCGATAGGAATTAGGAAGTAAAATTAGCTATAGCTGAGCCATTTATTATATATAGCAGACTCTACTCCTCTCTACGTACAAACTACAAACCCAAAATAAAAGCATTCCAAGTTTGCCCTAATTTTTACTACAAAGGAAGAAGAAGATGGCGGGGAAGGGAAAAGTGCAGGAGCGTGACAGCAGCGATGCAATGCTTATGGTGTGGTTTGCCGTTGTGTACATGTCCTTGGTTCTCGCCGTCGCCGGCATCTCCGTCATCGATATCGTGTATAGGAGTTGCTACGGTAAGTACTGCTTCTTGACCATCGAAGCTGAGCAGGTGGCGTATGCAAATAAGCTCATCTACATCCATATGGCGGTATTCTTTCCGGTCGCAGGCTATTTGCTCTACTCTATGTTTTCCGGTCTCAAGCTATCACGCCGTGCCTGCTTCGATCGAGCCTCGTCTACCGTTTTTAACCGGCCATCTCGTTTAATCATCTAGCTAGCTTGGAGTGGAGCGACTTCATTAGTAATTTTATGTTGGAGACTAGCTACTTTTTATTCTTTGTTATTGTTTTTATCGGTTTTTTTTCGTTGTAATATTTGATTTCCGTAATTTTATCGGTTATTTCGACTTTCTATTACTTATAATATTTGTCGTGTAGTTAATATGGGGGCAGTATATAGGTTTCTTTTTATCTAGTGTTGTGAGAGTTTCGATCGGATGAATAATAGGTTCAAGGTTTACCGATTAATTGGTGGTTGATTTGCATAAAACCATTTTAAAAACATGTTACTTATAATTTGTAAGAAAAAAATAACATTATGGATCTGGGTTAGTTATGAAAAATTAATAAAGAAAATCTATTAGGATCCAATAACGTTCTGATGTGGCTTTGTGAAATTATTAGTGTTTTGTTCTACTTCGACTTTTTTTTAATTTATTTCTCCTTACTTCAATTTCTCGAGTATAAATTGAATGGGAAGGTGAGGATTTTTTTTTTATGGGAATGGGCTTCTCATTCAAAAAACTAAATAATAGGTCCACAATCCATACGGCCCAAACAAACGGTCTTTCCCAGCCCGAAATCGCTTGGGCCAACCAATGGGCTGTGTTGTTCTTCCTTAGCGTAAAACTCCATTTCACGGGATGAAATAGCATGCCTATCCATAAAAGGGTTGGAAAAATGACACCCCTATTAATTATAGGTTTTAAGGTAATTAATTTGTGTTGCATTTAATAATTTGTATGAATTAAAAACACATATTAATTACTTTCCTTTTTCAGTGCACTGGTAGTTGTATCAGTGCACTGGTAGTTGTGTATAGGTGCAATGGTAGATGTATCAGTGCAATGGTAGTTCCAAAAAAGGAACGTAATTAATACGAGTTCAGTATACATGTGCAATGGTAGTTGTATCAATACAATGGTAGTTAAAAAAAAGGAATGTAATTAAGATGAGTTTTTAATTTCCAAATATTATTAAATGCAACACGAATTTAATACAAAAAATAACTATAATTAATAGGGGTGTCATTTTACCAACCCCTTAGAAGGGTTAGCATGCTAACCGATCCCCCATTTCACAGTAACTCCTGAAATTTTGAATTATCAATATTGCTGACCTGGCAATCCCCATCCCTCGTAGACGGCGCCCATAACAAACTCGCCGCACATCACTCGTTTTCTCTCTCCAGCTTCCCGCCCACTATATAAACACCCACGAAAAAACTCTCTGTCTCGTCCCTTCCATTCTCATCAAAAATTCAGAGAACAAGAAGAACCATGCTCAAGCTTTCATTCTTCAAGATTTTCCTCGTCGTTCTCCTCACCATCACCTCCATCCTCTCCGCTCCGACCGCCGTCCACTCCGCTCCGACCTCCGTCCACTCTGCTCCGGCCTTATTCCATTCCACTCCGGCCTCCGTCCTCGCCGCTCCGACCTCCGTCTCCCCCTCCACCGTCATCGGCATTACATATACTTCTCCGCTCAACTCGCCTCCGTCCTCTGCGATCGAAGGTGGATCTGTTCTTCTGCCGCCTCCTTCGTCATCGTCTTCAATTGCTCTGCCTCCTGCTCTGTATCCCGAGGCGGTGGCTTCCACGGTATCCAGACTCCGATTTGGTGCAGTGCGCCTCGTAAATCCACATCCCAACCTAATCAGAGCATTCTCATTCACCAACGCCTCTCTGTTCCTGTCAATTCCGAACGGCCTCCTGCCTCCGCTTGCTTCCAATCGCAGTCTGGCAATTCACTGGATCCGCACGCACGTCCTCGCGTTCTACCCCCGCTCCAAGATCGCCGTGATCTCCGTCGGAGACGACGTCTCCCGGCTAGATTCCGAGCTACTGATGACAGCACTCCGTAAGGTCTATTCGGCGCTTCAAGAAGTCGGGATCACGAGGATCTCCGTGACCTGCACTTTCTCCTTTCTCGACGTGGTCACCACGGCGATTCCTCCTTCGGCCGCCGCTTTCAAGGAGCCGATCGGAGAGGCGTTGATCCTGCCGTTGCTCCGTTTCTTGGAGTCCACCAACTCCTCCTTCTCAGTAAGTGTTCAGCCGTACCACATGTACCGGGTGCACACTCAGATCCCGCTGGGATTGGCTCTGTTCCAAGGAGGCGAGCATGATTTTTACGATGATTTCCAGACGGGGCTGAGGTACGGGAATCTGTTCGATATGATGGCGGATGCTGTGTTCACGGCGTTGGCCGTTGCCGGTCACGCGAAGTTGCCGCTGATCGTGGCCGAGTCTGGCTGGCCAGCTTCGGGAGCGGATTCCGATGCCAATCTGGCGTACGCTGCCGCTTACGTGAGGTCTCTGGTCGCTCACTTGTCTTCCGGAGGGGCAACGCCGATGGGGAAATTGGCAACTCAGGCCTATCTCTTTGAGTTAACTGATGGCACAGAGGGGGAGAATCTCTGGGGACTTCTCTTCACCAATCTGAGTAGGAAGTACGCCTTCCACGTCCCTGAGCCAATTTCCGGCTCCGGCTCCGGCCGCCAATCAGGTAAGGATTTGCAGTTTTCTTGATTTTCAACCATTAATTCCAGTTTGTTAAGTTTTAATTCCGTTTTCTTTCCCTACTTAGTGTCAATCCAAGTCTTGCCTGCACCCGCTGATTCGATTCCGGTGGTGAGAATGATTGCCGTCACCATACTGGTTGGATTCGTCAGCCTCTTCATAGCCTATTGTGTTGTCTCCCGCTATGTGCCGAGGATCGACGGCCTGACAAGGTGAGGCGGCGGCCGGCGAACTGGTGCACACTAACCACTTAATTTATTTTTGTTGCAACTAAATCATATAAGTTGAATTATGGTTGCAACTAAATCATATAAATCAAATTTCGGTTGCAACATCACAATTTCCGTCCTTGGAGTTAACGGAAGGTACCAAACTAAACAATTTCAAATAAAATAAAACCTATATAGTTATTTTGCACAAATGTAAAACCTATGTGATCATTTTGGATAATTACCCTTTCCCCCTCTCATCTTTACTTCTCGGGTCTCCTTCCCTCGTAGCCTCACCACCACTGGAGGAACCAAAATTTCCAGTTCCTCCCTAACCCTTTTTCTGGAGCGATAAATCTGTAACAGAAACGAAGAAAAACGAAAATCTAAAGTGGACGAAATCAAAGATCCCTTAAGCCAAAATGATTATATCCCAATAACCCTTCCATATCGGAGACTCTGTTTCAGCTCTAATCCTGTAATCCATAACCTAGCTGCTCTCAGCCTTTCTCTTCCCGGTACGTGCCTTCTTCTTTTAAGTCTATAAAGTGTTCTCTTATTGATTGTGCTCGCTCTTTTTCGTTTGGATTCCAAGGTCGTTTCTTTTACTGTTCTGTTTTACTTTGGTTGCCCAAAAAGTGAGAGATTCCTACCAATCTCCCCTGCTTAAGACCTTCTGGAATATAGTACTTTAGGTTCTTCAATTTGGAGCAGTGATATAGAATTAGAAACCAAGGCAGAGGGTAAGGAAATAGTGGGACAGAAATGGGTAATCAATCTCCTGAACTCTGGACTTATAGAGCAAGAACAGTATAAGATGGAATAACAGAGGACATCGAAAGATTTTGAGTAGAGAAGAACATGGGCTTTCTCAATACTTTGACCCATACATGCTGGTGTACATAGAAATTTCCAGTTCCTCCCTTTTGGAACAGAAGAGGGTGGTGGTGACTGGTGAGGCGATGAAGGAATTGAAAAGGAGGGTCATTGTTGAAAAATGGTCCTATAATTTTGTCATTTATTCAAAATGACGATATATTTTTTTTTTCTTCTTCCAAATGGTATCTAAATAATTTCTTTTTGGTAACTTCAGTTAACTCCATAACGGAAAGTGTGATGATGCAACCGAAATTTGATTTATATGGTATAGTTGCAACCATAATTCAACTTATATGACTTAGTTGCAACAAAAATAAATTAAGTGGTTAGTGTGCAACATACACTACACGTAAGTGGCAAGTCATGCATATAACCCTGATTTACGCTTAAACCTCTGGGTTGGAGTTTGCTGTTGTTTCGTAAATAAACGGGTCTCAAAACTTTGCCCATTGGACCTCAATCCGTTACTTTACTGTCAGTTGTATCTCATTCTCATGCTGCACTTGTATTGGGCTTTCGGCCCTTTCACTGCCGTTACTGTCTGTTGTATCTGATGCTGCACTTGTATTGGGCCTTCGGCCCTTTCACTGAATGAAGGAGATTGCCACATTTTACTAGCTATTTGTATACACGTTGCTTGAAATATGGTTCTAGTATACTGCTTCTGCCATATTCCTTGTTCCATGAGTTGAGATCGTAGCAATTATATACCAACATTAAAAAGTAAAAATGTTAGAGTCTCACATTCACATAGGCATAGTCCACGGCGGAGTCTAAATTAAGTTAATTACACAACCAAAGTCTAAAAGTTAAACACCATGACCAAGTCTTCATAAGGATACCTTATATAACATTAGTCTTCCACCACTTTAACACATCAAAGTCATCTGATGCACCACCACCTTCTTATCTATGATGAGCAATATAATGTACTAGCAAAAGTCCGCTCGCTGTCGCTTCGCGTATCACAAAAATATATATTTTAAAAATTAATAATTTTAATTGCTAATCATCTTATTTCATTGCTAATCATTCTTTTTATAGGTTTGTTATTTACAATAGCATATGGTCGATGAAAAAAAAATTAACGTGAGAAAAAAAAATACGAAACTCGCATTCGATCTAAAACTGGTCAACAACGTGTTCAACTCGCATTGAACAATTTTTTAACAAATTAACACTTGGTTCAACCTACCAACTACAAATGCGGATAAAGCTCGCTCACAATACAACACTCGTCAAAACCTTTAGATTCAGGTTCAATTGTCTTCCCAACCAAAAGAAGAAGGAAAAAGAAATTTATAAATGCTAAAGTCGGTTTCAAGTCGCTTTGACTGTATCGAATTAGGTTGGATACCCATGAATTTGGGTTAAATTGTGATCATGCTCAATAAAAAGGAAAAAAATAAAGAAAAAACACTAAAGATGATGAAACTCGGTCCTGATACAAAACTCGTGGTAGCGGCCTTGGGAAACGATGGTGGGGGAACAATTTATGATTCCTCCAACAGTATTTCGAGATGGGCTGCGAAATGGTGGGCAAATGAGATGATTTGTACAAAACAATAAAGAGGATGAAACTCGGTCCAGATACAAAACTCGTGGTAGCAGCCTTGGGAAACGATGATGGAAAACGATGGTGGGGGAACAATTTAGGATTCCGCCAACAGTATTTCGAGATGGGTTGCGAAATGGTGGCAAATGCGATGATTTGTACAAAACACTAAAGAGGATGAAACTCGATTCAGATACAAAACTCGTGGTAACGGCCTTGGGAAACGATGATGGGGAATAACTTAGGATCTCATCGACAGTATTTTGAGATGGGCTGCAAAATGGTGGGCAAAGGCGATGATTTGTTTTCAAGTTAGGATACCCTTGTGTTTGGGTTCAATTGTGATCATGCTCAACAAAAAGTAAAAAAAACAAACAAAAAACACTAAAGAGGATGAAACTCGGTCTCGATACAAAAATCTTGGTAACGGCCTTAGGAAACGTTGGTGGGGAACAATTTAGGCTGCAAAATGTTTGGGTTCAATTGTGATCATGCTCAACAAAAAGTAAAACAAAAAATAAAAATAAAAAAACACTAAAAAGGATGAAACTAGGTCCCGATACAAAAATCGTGGTAGCGACCTCAGGAAACGTTGGTGGGGAACTACTTAGGCTGCAAAATGTTGAGCAAAGGCGATGATTTGTGCAAAAAGCCATAGATGGAAACCTAGCGAACAATAACTAAACACAAAGGCGATAATTGTGCAAAAAGCCATATACGAAAACCTAACGAACAATAACAAAACACAAAGTCGATGATTTGTGCAAAAATCCGTAAACGAAACCCTAGCGGACAATAACTAAACACAAAGGTTGTAGAATGGAGAGTGGGGTAAAAGAATGAGTTGGAACTTCCCCACTTGCACTTGGAGGAGTGTGAGCCCCTAATGAATAGTAACTCAAACCTAGACTTTTATATAGGGTTAATACCTTATTTTGGCCTGAACTATGACCATATAATCAACTTTGGCTCGTGGTTTCAGAAATTAACATCCTGGCCTCAACTATGTAACATATAGACTCAATTGGCCCGACACCTAGTTTGACCGTCAATTTGAATGGTCAACACCGTTGACCGTTAGTCAACATGCCATGTCATTGCCTCGTCAGCCTAAAAATCATTAAAAAATTCAAATTCATACTATTTTTTATTTTTTATTATTTATAATCATATTAAAAAAATAATTTATAAAAAATATAAAATTAATTTAATTTTTTTGTAATTTGAAAATGATAAATTTTATAAATTAACCAAAAATTATCAAATTATTTTATATATTTAACATTACCCAAAAATAAAATATATAATTTATATCATACTTTTTAAATCTATAAAATTAATTTGATAATTTTTGGTTAATTTATAAAATTTATCATTTTCAAATATCCCAAAATTTAAAAATAAATTTTATTTTATATTTTTTAAATTTTATTTTATGGTTAATTTGAAAATGATAAATAATAGAAATTAGGAAAATAATTTGAATTTGATTTTTTTAATAATTTTTAGGCTGACGAGGCAATGACATGGCGTGTTGACTAACGGTCAACGGTGTTGACCATCCAAATTGACGGTCAAATCATGTGTCGAGCCAATTGAGTCTATATGTTGCATAGTTGAGGCCAGGATGTTAATTTCTGAAACCACGGGCTAAAGTTGATTATATGATCATAGTTCGGGCCAAAATAAGGTATTAACCCTTTTATATATTAACTTCATCTCTAACTCATTCTTTGATTCTCCAACTTGAGATTGTGTAATCATCATGCATCAACATTGGAAACATCATCACAGCTACTCTGATAATGATCACACAACTTCATCAACTCTTCATTCAACTCTTTCACCAACTTTTCCCCCTATCTTCTCCGCAAATCTTATTTCGTATATATGTTTTTATACTCCATCTTGTGCCTTGGATCAAGAACCACTACCACATTATCATTAACCAACCGGTTCATTCTCAAGTTGACACCATCTTTCTAGGACCAACACTTGTCAACCTTTGCTTCCATCTTCATACCTATCCTTACTATGTCATCATCCATAATTCCTTACTATTGACCATGCTCTAAATGTGATTATGTGAAAAATGTATCTTTCCAAACTATTCAAGAATAAATGAGTCATCATCACAACCAAAACAGTGGATGCAATCAATGTCAAATGTCAACTCATAAAAGAACTTGAGGTATTTCACCAAAACTATTGCACTCCTCAAATCTTCATGTTGAGATACCAGTTTCTTGATTCTTATACTTCTTCACTTTAAGCTCGGGTTTTATTTTTTGGTATCTTTCCTCTCAAGACTGGAGAAAGCATCTTCAAACACCTTAACTACTTTGAGCATGAAGTAGATGAAATTCCATCTTATTTGCATATTTGGACAGAATGTTGTGGAAGTTCACAAAATCCTTGAACTTAGCCAATCTAGGAGGCGATGATCTAACCCATCTCACAACCTCTCTCACTCTCCTAATTGACATTCCATCTCATTCAACCAT